TAATTGTACTTCTGAGAAATCTGTACCTAGACCAAGAAGCAGTTGTTCAAACAGAGCATGGGAACACTGAATGTTTTAAAATTGGGAAAGGTGTGCGTCAAGGTTGTGTTCTTTCACCATATTTATTCAACCTGTATGCTGAGCAAATAATAGGAGAAGCTGAGTTCTATGAAGAAAAGCGTGGGTAAATATTACAATCAAGAAAATCCTATGGGGAAGTTCTATTCTGTCACTTGGGTCACTATGAGTTGAAATCAAGGTGATAACACCCAAAAACAACGACCGCCTTTTACTGACCCAGTGTAGAGTATAATGCTTGACCAATAAATACATTAATGAAATATTTTTTGATGAATTAATTGGAGGCATTCTCTTGCTTGGATTTAAATTCATATCTTAGGTTTAGTTGGCATTTGTTAGCAATAGTCGTATTTCACTTGTCTTTCTTCTCTCCTGCTCTAGATTTCTTTCTCTGTTTTCTAGTTTCTCTTCATCAAGGACTATACTAGATACTTTGCATGTTATTTCTAATTTTCACAACAATCTTGAAGACAGGTGTTATGACCTTGATTTTATATATGAGGAAACTGGGGCTCAAGAGGTTCATTAATTTCTCCAAAGTCTCTCAGGAGGTCCCTGGTTAACCTGTGTTTTTCATGGAATCATTCATAGGTAGAGTCACAAACTCCTGGTGTATCCCTGAGGTTCCAGGATGCTCCTCTCCTGACCTTCCCGTTATCCAGACCATATCTCTACTGATCACTGCCACTGCTGCCTGAGTCCCATTTGAGACAGGAGTGATAAGGAAAGGATACCTTGAGCAGCTTGCCAAACAAAGATTGAAGCTGGGAACACAGAGATTGAAGCTGGGAACTGAAGGAGGCAAGTGAGTCCAACTAAGCTCCACATTTTCAATCTGAGTGAGAACAAGTGTGGTGTTATCACCAGAAGAAATGGGAAGTCTAATTCCTGCAGGTCATTAAATCAGATCATATGAGGGTGAGTCATAAATTATCCACACTGCAGTTACAGTAAAATGCTGGTCCATGTCCATGACTGATGACAACATTGAGTGTGCATGTGAAATGATTCCGTCAACTAGATGAATGACAGTAGATTATGTGGTAAATCATTTGCAAATCAGCCATGACTCTGCCTATGAAATAATCCACGACAGACTTGGTTTTAGAAAAGTGTAAGATGAGTACCAAAACAACTGATGGAAGAGCATCAACAGAAGCATTTGGACATATGTAAACACAATTTGGACTCATACTCAAAGGAAGATAAAAGTTTCTATAACAAATCGATACTGGTGATGAGACATGGATTCGTCACTACGAATCTGAGAATAAATGGCAGAGTATAGAATGGAAACATCCTCAATCATGGACTAAAAGAAGTTCAAAAGTCAACCATCAGCTGGAAAATTGATGCTTACAGTTTTCTAGGATTCTCAAGGTTTTGGAATTTGGGATTCTCAAGTATTGGAACACTATCAGGAAAAAGGTTCAACAATCAATTGAAGCCTAAACTGCAGGTTAAACTCAGAGAACTGCTATCCAAGGGCGTTGTGATCTTGCATGACGATGCAGGTCCTTACACCTCAGCCCACACTGTTGACACAGCAAAACTTCATTTTGAGGAGTTGAAGCATCCTCTCCATAGTCCATTAGACTTTCACCTGTTTGTCCCCCTGAAAACATTCCTTTGAGGATGAAGATTCACCTCTGACGAAGAAGTGAAGACAGTGGTGTGTTTGTGGCTCGCAGCTCAGCCTAAAGCATTTTTTAATAAAAACTTGTTGACAGATGGACCAAGTATATTGAAAAGCAAGGAGATTATGTGGAAATATGATGTATCTGTCTTTTCTAAATGTTGATTAAAATAAATTCTACAACTAAGTTGAATCGCTTTTGACTCACCCTCGTAGTTTGAGTTCCAGTTACCTTATTTGTGTTTAATCATGGACAAGTCACTTAACTTCTCTGAGTCTCAGTGTCCTCATCTTTTTTCTAAACATAATTCTACCCACCTCACATATTTGTTACTGATTTGCTGATCAAATAATGCAATATACATGAAGTGCTTTGCAAAGGGATACAGCTGTCATCACTACTGTCAGATATATTATTACCAGAGTCAGATTGTAAGTGGAGATGCCAACTTCTTGGGCAGAGTGTATCTACACCATGAATTAGCAAGCTGCAGCCCACCAGCCAAGTCTGGCTATCTATTTTTATATGATCTGTGAGCAAAAAATGATTTTTACATAGTGAAATGGTGCATTCAAATTTACATTGAAAATTTCTATAACATAAATATTTTATAAAATTAAAATTTTTGTGTTAATAAAGAAAATTCTACTGGGGCATAGCAACCCATTTGTTTATATATTGTCTAAGGCTACTTTTGAGCTACAGTAACAGAGCTGGGTAATTTCTATACAGATTGTCTGACCCACAAAATCTAAAATGTTTACTATCTGACCCTTGACAGAAAAGTGTGTGACCTTTAGTCTACACCTTTTGGGAATCAACTTTGAATCTACCACCCCATTTCTTTCCTTTTCCATTTGTTGAGTTGCCTGGAGAGGAAGGGAAAATTAAGGAATAGAGCAGCAGGTCAGCGAAAAAGAGGAAGATCCCCAAGGAGATGGAGTGATACAGTGGCAGTGGCAATAGACTGAAACATGGCAATGGTTGTGAGGATGGTGTAGGACTGGGCAGTATTTCATACTGTTGTGCATAAGTTCGCTATGAGTTGGAACCAACTCAATGGTACCTAACAGCAACAACAACAACAACAGTTCCAAAGTATTTATTTTAAACTAATTTCTGATGACCTGGTATTTTCAATAGCTTCATCTATATCTGAAAGTGGGACAGTGAATAAGGAAGACCATTGAAGAATTGATGCATTTAAGTTACTATGTTGGAGAAGAATTTTTAAAAGTACTATGGACTGCTAGAAGAACAAACAAACCTGTGTTGGAAGAAG